TCTCTTTCACAGAGTTTTTTTTCTTTGTGTGTGTGTGTGTGTGTGTGTGTGTGTGTGTGTGTGTGTGTGTGTGTGTGTGTGTGTGTGTGTGTGTCAGGTCTATCAGAGGTTGGCAGCCATCCGTCGGCCAGAGGTCAGTACCTGATCAGTTACTGAGAGTTCTGGAGGCAGCAGGGTGTTTTTTTTCTTTTAATTTCTGCTCCTTTTGTGTGTGACAGTTTGAAGTGCTGCAGCACACACCCCAGCATCATCCATTTTACCCCTTTTTCTTTCTTTTTGTGTTATTTCCTCTTCTCTTTGTCCCTCTGTTGTGTCGTTGTGTGTATGTACTTGTCCGCGGGATTTGTGACCGCATGTGCACATATTTCTATGTGTGTGTGTTCGTGTCTATCTGTGTTCGTTTCTGAATGTCTGTCTATATATGTGTGTGTGTGTGTGTGCGCGTGTGTGTGTGTGCGCTCGTGTGTGTGCGTGTATGTGTGTCCAGCCCCCTCAGTTGATTACAGTTCCTTTGCAGACAGATGCAGCTCCTGGATAGAGCAGCTTAAACTGAAAGCTCACACCATAAGACGCGGATCGGTTAAAACAAGTAGGAGCACACACGCAAACTCGCTTACACACACAATCACATAGACCCTAGTCAGAGTAAACTGCATATTTAACAGGATCTTTAACTTCAAGTTGTAATCAAAATGGGCCCAATATACTTAACATACTACCTTAATACAATTTTCATAAACATTTGCTTGGGCGTCTTATGCTCATTTCATCGGTGCATATTATTCCAAATTGATGTTCCACTAAAATAATACCTTGCTATACTCACATATGTGACCCTGGACCACAAAACCAGTCTTAAGTCGCTGGGGTATATTTGTAGCAATCGCCAAAAATACATTGTATGGGTCAAAATTATAGATTTTTATTTTATGCCAGAAATCATTAGGACATTAAGTAAAGATCATGTTCCATAAAGATATTTTGTACATTTCCTACTGTAAATATATCAAAACTTAATTTTTGATTAGTAATATGCATTGCTAAGAACTTCATTTGGACAACTTTAAAGGTGATTTTCTCAGTATTTAGATTTTTTTGCACCCTCAGATTCCAGATTTTCAAATAGTTGTATCTCGGCCAAATATTGTCCTATCCTAACAAATCATACATCAATGGAAAGCTTATATATTCAGCTTTGAGATGATGTATAAATCTCAATTTCAAAACATTGACCCTTATGACTGGTTTTGTGGTCCAGGGTCACATATGTCTGCATGTAAATGAATATATATTTTTTTTATGTATGTAATTTATATAAATAAGCTTATTTTGATAATCACAATATGGAAGTAAATGGGGCTCTGGGTGTTTGAAGTTCAATGTGTTAAGTAAGTCCTAGGTCACAGGAAACTTTCATAAACCATGTTTTAAATTTTATGTTTTTAAAATGTTTGCCTGTTAAATGAAGACCAAGGTACATTGCAGTATGACATCTACTCTGACTACAGTCTATACTTCTACACGCATCCTTATACACACATACTCAAATGTCCTGCATCAAAAAGTGGATGAGTCTTGCTGCCATATGCCGATCCGATCAATCTTGATTGACAGAGTGTGAAAGTTGAGGTTGAGTCCTAGTGAGGAGCCAAGATGAAGACTGTCATTCTTTCAGTGGTGCCTCAGTGATTTCAATGTTTGAGCTTGCTGATGTAATGAGTATGAACAAAGCACAGACCAACTCTGTCATGGGCCCATGCAGAGTCGCATATGATGTATTGAGGCATCATAAGTATGGCTGTGCATATTGTATAGTCCAGGGTTGGGCGTTATAGCTTAAAAAAATATCTCTTTATCATAATTTATGTCTAAATATTTATGTAAATGCTCTGAAAAATGACACATTTAGTAAAAAAAACAGTCAAGTCATGTTTTCCACACAGTTTTTCACTAAATGAGCACAAAAATTATTAAGAAACTTGTTAAATAATTTTAATTTCTATAAACCATTATAACAGCATTCTTGCATCTCTGGAAAACCTGGAAATTGGAAACTCCAAAGGCGTGATTTCCTGATCTGGAAAAGTCACAGAAATTTGTATAATTAAAATATTAAATAATACTAATATTTTTTAATGAATTAATAGTAATAAAACATTACTAAAAATTATTGTTTTCATTATTAAATATGAATATTTATATAATTTCATAAAAAAAATTGTCATGATATAGTCATGAAAAATTCTAAATTTGTCCAGTTATGCTATTATTATTAACATTTTATTAGTAGTAATACAAATGACTACATTATGATCATTATATTTTTAATATTAACATTTTTATAATTAAAATGTTAAATAATTTAATATAAACAGTCATTATGTAGTCATGGTTATTTTTACATTTGTCCTAAATTATGTTGTTATATTATGTTATGCTCCATTGTGAAATGTTTTTTTTGGAGTAAAATTTACTTTTTGTGAGTGATGTTTATAAAATACTATTAATGGCTTTAGTTGAACAACTTTAGTTTTAGTTATTGAAAAATGATGGACGCTCATTGCTCAGAACGTGTGGAAACCCTGATAACAGGGTTAGGAATAAACAGCAGTATTTGCGTACATATTGTTTTTACTGAAACATGAAAAATGACGAATGGAGACTTCTAAATGTTTTTAAATCAATTTTTTAAATTTTAAATCAGTTCTTTGAAAAGGGCTTGAACTAATTCATGTTTCATGTAAATTAATGTAACAGAACTGATTCTAATGTTCAAATCATGATATTGCTTTCATAAAATCATTGCAGTATTCACTATGTTGCTTTATTGTATGCGTCAACAAAATAATCACAGTAAAACTGTATATATCGCCCAGCCCTAATTGAGTCTACTGACAGATAGTTAGAGCAATGTTTGGGAGCTGCATGCACATTAGTGCTCTGTGTAATAATTGTGATGCAGCGTCATGAATGATGTTTTACAGCTTTGAGATTTCAAGCTCTTTCACACTCTTTATGGAAAAAGTGTCCTCCCTGCTCAAAGCTCATCATCCTCTGATTTATCAAGGCCGACTGAACATGCGTGCATTCATTCTTTCTCTCCTCCTCTGTCTCTGTATTTGCATGCTGTTTATTTGCATGGTGCAGTGCCATTGCTTTGCTTTGATCACATGCTGCTGATCTGCAACACAAATGCACACGTCCTTTTTCCTCGGTCACACTATGTTTGTCTCGTCACATCCGTTGGTCTTGTACAGCGCCCTCTGAAGGCCATGTCTGGTATCTTTCTTTTCTCTCTTCTCTACCCCCCCCCCACTGTCTCGTCACATCCGTTGGTCTTGTACAGCGCCCTCTGAAGGCCATGTCTGGTATATTCCACCCCCCTCTATCTTTTCTCTCTACCCCTCTCTCTTCTCTCTCTCTCTCTCTCTCTTACTCTCAACAGCATCATCTATGGAGAAGGCCAGCCCGTTGCCTGAAGGTCGCTCTCGTTCTCTTCGGTCAAACCGTTCCTACTCGGGCAGTTCTGTCGCAGTGGTCAAAATGACCCCGCTCTCTTTCATTCCTGGAGCAAAGATCATCAAATACCTTGGCATCATCAACATGTTCTTCATTAGAGAGACCACCTCACTCAGAGAGGTAGCAGTCTCACTGATTTTAGACTCATTCAGGTCACGTACATTAAGACATTTACTTGTTGTTATTATTATTAGAATTATTATTATTAATAAGAATAAAATTAATGTTAAGTATTTTTATAATATGAATGCAATTGAAAATAATATAACAATATAATATTAATAGCAATAACAATAATAAATATTCTTAATTTTGAATATTTTTATATTAATGCTATTAAATAAATATTTCTTTATTAATATTTAATTAAAATTGTTTACAATTATTAATACTAAAATTACTAATTATTATTATTAATTTAATATTAAATAATATTTGTGTTATTAAAATGTTCATTTAATTAATACAAGTAAAACATTTTATACTATTAAAATAAATTATTAATTATAACATAATGACTTGTTTATATGAAGTATTGTAATAATATAAAACAATTTTTTAATTAATTACAATTATTTACATTGATGAAAATATTGGTAACAATATTATTTATTATGGTAAATTGTGTTGTTATTATGAATAATACAAAATATTAATAGTGCCAAATATTATTGCTTTTATTGTAATAATATTAATTCATACAAATAAAAAAATATTTGAATAAGATTTAAAGTTTTATGCAATTAAAATAAATTATTATTAATAGGATAATATAATGACTTGTTTATATGAAGTATTGTAATAATATTAAACCTTTTTAAATGAATTACATTTATTTACATTGATGAAAATATTGGTAATAATATTATTTATTATGATAAATTGTGTTGTTGTTATTATGAATAATAAAAATATTAATAATGCCAAATATTGCTTTTATTGTAATAACATTTTTAAAGTAATTACAATTATTTACATCGATGAAAATATTAGTAATAATATTATTTATTATGATAAATTGTGTTGTTGTTGTTATTATGAATAATAAAAAATATTAATAGTGCCAAATATTATTGCTTTTATTGTAAGTATATAGTAAGTAGTAATTCATTTATATTCTTGGTAGTATTATTATTGTCACATTGCATGATTTTTTTCTTATGTTTTAGGAGGGAGGTGTGAGTGGGTTTCTGCATACGTTTATTGCTGAAGTATTTGCGATGGTTCGTGCCCACGTCGCTGCTCTTGGAGGAAATGCTGTCGTATCCTACAGCATGAAGGAGTGTGTGTTCATGGAGAACCCTAACAAGAACCAGGTTAATACATGCACAGTCACACACACAGACTCATACACACTCAACCCATCACGTTTGTGCATTTATGCTCATGTTGTGTGCTTTACAGGCGCAGTGCCTAATCAACGTCAGTGGGGACGCTGTCATGTTCGTCCGAGAATCTGAACTCGAGTCGACTTCGGTACAGACACAGTCGGCCACCGCACACACCTCCAACGGCGCAGAAGGAACGTGAACTCGCATACACACACCAACAAACTCAAGTAAACGAGTCTTAACATGAACCATGCCATTTAAAGCAGTGTCACGCTAAATCTACCAACCAAATCTCCAAAAAGAAGCGAAAATCTAGACCTTATTGGTTAGTTCTCCAAAGTGTCATATTTTGACTCATTAAATGGCCAATATTTTGTTTTATTTCAGAATAATGTTTTAAAATCCCCTCTGTCAGAAGCCTTTCAGAAAGGTCATCTGTCATGTTTCTATGTGTTGGCCATTGTTGTTCACATTCCATTTTGTCCCAATGTGGCGGAGGCAGCTACCAATTTCAAAAGGTCTATAAAATTCGTCTTTGTGTTCATAAAGTGTGTAAATGTGTCAACGACTCTTTAAATGGCCATGTTTTGTATTTAAATAAAGGAATAAACTACTGATGCACTCACATGGACATCCAGTTCAGGATTTTAAATAAGACACTTCCTGTCATGTCCTACTGATCTCTTTAAAATCATGTCAAATGCTGGAAACATTTGTTTGCTTTCATGTGCCACGATGTATGCTTTTTTCAAATCATAATGTTTGGGTCGGACTTCTGCAAGGCTGGTCCGGTTCTCTTGCATGTGCAATGCCAGTTAATCATTACGAGAAAGAGATATTTTAGGGCAGGGTTGTGTTCACCATGGACTGGCACTTGAATGTACAGATGATGGGTCTGGATATATGAGGTGCGCGGCTCTGTTCATGTGTTGACTGACTTTTGATGCTATTATTTTGTATATGTGTTTGCCTGAGGACAAATCAAAATTGCACATTAATAAGATATAATTGAATAAAACTATTATTGCTCTGGTGTGTTTAGTCCTTGTCAAATTCTTCAGTTTTTAAATGAACATATAATGGATTTAATTTCTCGTTGTTCTGATCTAAGATATAATTGCAATGAATGCGGAATAATTTGCCCAAAAGAAACAGTTATGTTTGCTTCGTGAGCAAGCCCCTTTGAAAAAAAAAAAATATATATATATATATATATATATATATATATATATATAAATGTTGTCGGATACAGCAGCAAAGCCAAGAAGAGCCGCTAGTAGTCGCCAGACATTAAAAATGCGTCTGCGCCATAGACTGTATAAAAACAGGTCTGCGCCCTAATTTGGCAGTATTTAAAAAAAATCTCCAGAAAAGTCTCCAAACTTCTAACAAATGAAACCATTATGATAATAATTTTAAAAAAGTAAATATTAGGCGAGCGTGTCTGAAATTCCCAATCCTACTATGAAGAGGGGAGGGCTTCGAGATCATGTTGATTTTTGCTTGTCAACCTTCCGAGATCTCCAGGTAAGTGCCTAACCTACTTTATAATTCATGAGCCGAGTCTTAAAGGGATAGTTCATCCAAAAATGAAAATGTGATGTTTATCTGCTTACCCCCAGGGCACCCAAGATGTAGGTGACTTTGTTTCTTCAGTAGAACACATATGATGATTTTGAACTCCAGCCGTTGCAGTCTATCAGTCATATAATGCATGGCAATGGTAACAAAATCTATGAGAGTAAAAAAAAACGTGCACAGACAAATCCAAATGAAACCCTGCGGCTCGTGACGACACATTGATGTCCTGAGACATGAAACGATCGGTCTGTGCCAGAAACTGAACAGTATTTATATAATTTTTTACCTTTAATACAGCACTATGTCCAACTTCCTTGAGCATGCGCACGGCATCCGGTGCGTGAGGTGTGTAGCGCTCTGGCGTAGTTTACGCAAGCGCCGGAAGTGATCTCTCGCGTGTATACGTCATTGTAGGTACGACGGCTAATCAAAATGGTACTTACTTGCGCTTATCCGGACTGTTCAAATCGACTTAAAACTAAAAGATTACATTCTCTCGCTCAAACACATTCAGGAGTGGTGACTTTCCACGTATTCCCAACTTCTGAGCCTGCTCGCCTGAAGTTATGGATGATTGCTCTTCGGTTGGATATCAACACACCCATTAACGTAAACTACGCCAGAGCGCGTACACACCTCACACATCGGAACATTTAAATGAAAACAAAAAAATAAAGCTAAAAACAATTAAAAAATATTACAGAATATTATAATAATATTAAAGAAACAAAGTCACCTACATCTTGGGTGCCCTGGGGGTAAGCAGATAAACATCAACTTTTCATTTTTGGATGAACTATCCCTTTAACAAGGGTTCCGCTCTGTAATGCCTACTTTCCAACGTCTGCCTTTCAGCCAATCGGCTGCTCTCACGGACGAGCGTCTATTGACGTAGTACATATTCATGAAAAGTCAAACGTTTAGGGCTCATCAATTCGCCAGTCCTCCAACGTCACGTCCCCGAGCGTGACATAATTAATATTCATGAGCCAAGTCTTCGCCATAGCAGGATTCGTTGGTAAGCAGCGCGCTTTCCTGCACGTCAGACGTGTCGCTCAGAGTCAGTCAGTCCTTTGCGTTCAAACCTCGCTGATCTCCATCTTGAGGAGAATCCTGCTCCATCTGTTTCCTTTAGGAGTTTACTGAACCAAACATGGGAGATGCAAGGCTGCCGAGGCACATGTTTTTGTGGTGCCTGTCTGCTATTTATATGTTTGCCTTCGCGTCTCTTTACGTGCAGATTCCAGGTGAGTTTGAAGATTTGTTTAACTTGCCTGTATTGAACTAACAGCACAAGTTCATCAGTGACACATGCTGTAAAAATCTTTTAGACATACATTTTAAATGGACATGCTCATCTGTGAGGTAAGTTAATGGTTTGTTCAAGTCTACAGGATGTTTATTCCAGTAACTTACGTTACTTTCGCGGTGTTGGGATACAGTAGCGATTAAAGTATTTTAAAGGACCCGTATTTAATATGTCTTGCAGAACTGTCTGTGCAAAACATCTCAGATTAGATAGAACATGTTGACGCCTGTTCAGAAGCATGCAGACTGTAAAATCAAAGATGCTATATTAAAATCTGGGAAGTCTACATTCTCTCAAGAGGAAATGCATCTCATATATCGGAATTCATATATGCACACATTTATTATAGTATTGACATGTTGCATGTATGGCATATGTCATATTTTCACATGTATTTTCTTGTCAATTTCATAATGTACAGTGGTGGCCAAAATGATTAGAACACTAGTATTTTCAGCAGCTAAAAATGGTTTTAACTCAGTTATTTCTATCTTTTGCTGTAGTGTGTCAGTAGGAAATATCGGTTTACATTTCCAAACATTCATTTTGTCATTAATTGTAATAATCCAGTGAGATTTTTGTTTGCACAAGGTAATCATTTTGGCCACCACTGTACATTACTGTGGTGTACATTAGCATATTTTACTGTACATTAGCATATATGACCAATATTGCATGTATAGCATATGTCATGTTTTCTCATGTAATTTCATATACATTTCATAGTGTATGAATATGGTAATCATTCAGAACCATGTGGCATCCAAAAGTCTGAGACCACATAAACAATATGGGACCTGAAACCTGGAAATAAAGTTTACGGATTCTGAAAAATATAAAACTTAAAGTTACACTATGACATAAAATAAATCTCGTTTCAGATTCTTAGGGCTGCCCTCGACTAAGGATTTTTCTGGTCGAGTCGTTCATTTGAAGCATCAGTCGACTAATCGCATGTTTATTAATAAACCATTTAAATCATTATAATGAGCCTTTAATGGCATACATAGCCTAATAAATGCTCAAGCACACGCATGAAGCTTGCCACAGCGCACCGGCAGAAGAAATAATTATGAATGTGTCAGAAAAACGGTAAGGAGGCTGCATCATATCACACCAAACAATTTTGGTTGAAATGCGCAGTTTGTCGTGAATTATAATTTAATCAACTAACAATCTATAAAGGTGTAAAATGCATTTACTTACTTGAGCATCAAGATATTTCATGATATATTTGGGGGGTATTTTGAATAAAAAAATATATATATTAATCCCTGCTGAAAAAAACAATAGATGCATTACAAAATTTGTAATGGTAATGGGACTTGTATTGGTGTTACTGGAAACTGTAATGAACCCTGTTGGTCTCTACTGGTAATTGTTTGCCTTCTATTGGTGGCTTGTTAAAACCAATAAATCCTAATGGAATATGTCCCAAAACACACTACAGAAAACAATTTTTTAATGGTTAAACGTTGATGGTTTGTAAAGTTTGTAATGGTATTTGTAGTGGAAACCATTAAAATGTTCTGTGATGGTTTTATTGTTGTTTTCTTCAGTAGGGACATAAGCCTATATCAGTTATACAGTGGTATTGTGGCTGCTGTGTCACATGACCAGCACGATAGCCCCTCCCCTTCACCCGTGCCCCCTAAAAAATAATAAGGGCATGATGCCCCCTGACACTAGAATCAACTAACAATCTATAAAGGTGTAAAATGCATTTACTTACTTGAGCATCAAGATATTTCATGATATATTTGGGGGGTATTTTGAATAAAAAAAAATATATATTAATCCCTGCTGAAAAAAACAATAGATGCATTACAAAATTTGTAATGGTAATGGGACTTGTATTGGTGTTACTGGAAACTGTAATGAACCCTGTTGGTCTCTACTGGTAATTGTTTGCCTTCTATTGGTGGCTTGTTAAAACCAATAAATCCTAATGGAATATGTCCCAAAACACACTACAGAAAACAATTTTTTAATGGTTAAACGTTGATGGTTTGTAAAGTTTGTAATGGTATTTGTAGTGGAAACCATTAAAATGTTCTGTGATGGTTTTATTGTTGTTTTCTTCAGTAGGGACATAAGCCTATATCAGTTATACAGTGGTATTGTGGCTGCTGTGTCACATGACCAGCACGATAGCCCCTCCCCTTCACCCGTGCCCCCTAAAAAATAATAAGGGCATGATGCCCCCTGACACTACAATACAGAATTATTTGTCAAATAAATGAAACATTCATTTTAGTTGAAATTGTTATAGATTACTTCTAGAGATTGCAGTGATACATGACATGGTGAAAAATGACTGAATGAATAACACACTACAGAAAACAATTTTTTAATGGTTAAACGTTGATGGTTTGTAAAGTTTGTAATGGTATTTGTAGTGGAAACCATTAAAATGTTCTGTGATGGTTTTATTGTTGTTTTCTTCAGTAGGGACATAAGCCTATATCAGTTATACAGTGGTATTGTGGCTGCTGTGTGTCACATGACCAGCACTATAGCCCCTCCCCTTCACCCGTGCCCCCTAAAAAATAATAAGGGCATGATGCCCCCTGACACTACAATACAGAATTATTTGTCAAATAAATGAAACATTCATTTTAGTTGAAATTGTTATAGATTACTTCTAGAGATTGCAGTGATACATGACATGGTGAAAAATGACTGAATGAATGATACTTTAAGTAGGTTAAGATGAAATTTAAAATTGTGCCCCCTAAAAGCGCAAGTGGCCCCTGTCTGGCCCCCCAGTATGGTCTAGAACAACCCCTGCAAAAATGAGGGATTATTTTAAGAGCAAGTGAGTGCCCCGGCGCCTCCATCTGTCCTGCAGTGAGCGAGCTGCTGTTCAGCTTCCACACAGACACTTGAATAGCAGACATTTCTCTAGGTTAACATTAGATTGAGCGGCCATGTAAAGTTGCTAATACTTACATATTTCAGATGATAAGCCATATTTGAGAGGTCGATGAATGACAGTCGAGCATTTGGATGTCCTGCCCGTCGATGTACTGTATTACCAATGACTAGCCATTAACGATCTGTTAGTCATGGATTGCATGACTTCACCTGCGGATTTTTGTTTTTTCTTTGCTGCGACTAAAGTGACTAATAAAATTTTGGTC